GAGCTGGGTGGTTTTCTTGCAGACGTTTCGTGACCCAACTAGGGAACATTATCAGTGCTAGGGGGAAGTGGGGTTTGCAGAGAGGAAGAGGAGGAAGGGAGGAGAAGGAGGAAGAGGACTGGGGGGTCCTTGGTGCTCTCTGAGCTTGGTTGTTTTCTCACAGACGTTTCACGACCCAACTAGGTAACATCATCAGTGCTAACAAGTGTGCAATTTGTGCTGTTGTTATTATTTTAAATTCCAGAAGCACATCCACTCCATCAGTCGACGCCCAGATAAGCAGGGATTACTTCCAGACAAACAATCAAGCAGAAAACAATACCCTCATCAAGGTACTACCAAACTATACACCACTAAGTAAATCAACTGGGATCCTCGGTGCTTCTTGAGCTGGGTTGGGCTCTTGCAGACATTACATTGCGCATCTAGCTGACATGACCAGTACTAGAACGGAGTGGGGATTGTTCTCTGTTTACCCCAATCAAGGAACGGTCAGTTCAGTAAACAGCCTAACCATGGAAACACCAAGAAGAGAACAGCATTCCCACAAAAAAGGAGAAGCCACTAATAAATATATAAAAAGAGAGTAAACGCCACTTCCTTTGGCCCTGATGATGGAACATAGTTTGGTAATGAAATGTCTGTAAGGAAACAAGCTCAGAGAGCACCAAGGACTCCGTAATTGTCGTCTCCTCCTCCTCTTCCTCCTCCTCCTCCTCCTCCTCCTCCTCCCCCTCCCCCTCCTCCTCCTCCTCCTCCTCCTCCTCCTCCTCTCCCTTCTAGCACTTACAATGGTACCTAGTTTGGTCATGAAACATTTGCTAAGCACTAAACTAAGTACCAAGGACCCCACAGTCATCATTGTCTTCCTCCTCTTCTTCCTCCTCCTCTTCCTTCTGAGACGCTCCTGGCTTCTGGCACTGATTTTATTACCCAGCTGGGTCATGAAATGCCTGCAGGGAAACCGCAAAGCTCAGCGAGCGCCAAGGAGCCCCCACCGTTGGAAGCCCTAAGCTGCCGATTTCCTCTCCTGTCGGTCCTTCTTGCCATGGCTGACTTGTGCGCGCATGAAACAGGCCAAGAAAGGGAAGGCGTCAAGAATCCCAACAGGGAACTGGGTTCGGTTTTGGGGGATAATCAGCCTGCGTGAAACTCTTGACGAGACCTTGGCCCTATCGCTTCCCTCTCAAACTCACTCATAAATTGGGGAGGGGGACACTCTTTGTTCTGGCTAACCCCCCCTCCCCTCCCAGTAAAGCCAGCAAATCCCAGTCTCATTTCCTCACTGAGCAAGGTAGCACAGTCCTTTTCCCCCCCATCATGTAGATGACTGCCTTAAACCAATCTGTTGGGTTGTTGGGTTTTTTAAAACTACTCTTCTTATAATTTACCGTCAAGTTTACACGTTAATTTATTTTTACACTTGTGGTTTTTGGAAGACATGTTACATGTATAATATTTTGATTTTTTAACATTTCCATTGCAGTATTTATCATTGTTACTGGTTGTGTGTAGTGTTGACAGAATTAATATTAAAAGGCATACATATGAAACCAAAACCGGCTGGTCTCCGTGTGTGAAAACCTCCCGTCTCCGGAAAAGGGAAGGAAAGAATTCTGTTTTCTCAAAGCAGTAAGAAACGAAAATAGAGCAACAAAGGAGTGTGTGTGTGTGTTTGTGATAGGAGTGATAGAGAGGGTGAGTCAGAAAAACACTCACAAAACATCACTTTTTTCAATGCCGTTGTAACTTTGAATGGTCACTAACTTAGAGTTGGAAGGGACCTTGGAAGTCATCTATTCCAACCCCCACATCCAAGCAGGACGCCCTACACCATTTCTGACAAATGGCAGTCCAGTCTCTTCTTGAAAGCCTTCAGTGATGAAGCTCCCACAACGTCTAAGGGCAACTTCTGTTCCATGGGTTGATCGTTCTCACTGTCAGAAAATTCCTCCTTATTTCCAGGTTGAATCTCTCCTTGGTCAGTTTCCATCCATTATTCCTTGTCTGGCCTTCAAAGGTGCTTTGGAGAATAGCTGGACCCCCTTCTCCTCTCCGGGGCAGCCCCTCAAATATTGGAAGATGCTCTCCTGTCTCCCCTGGTCCTTCTCTTCCCTAGACCAGCCAGGCCCAGTTCCTGCAACCGTTCATCATATGTTTTAGCCTCCAGGCCCCTCATCATCCTGGTTGCTCTTCTCTGCACTCTTTCTAGTTCAGGGGTCTTCAAATTTGACAGCTTTAAGCCTTGTGGACTTCAACTCCCAGAATTCCTCCTC